TGGGGCTGCCACCGAGAAGCGGCGCGTAGACACGGTGACCATCCTGGATCTTAGTATCAAGAGGAGGTCGTGAGTCGCGCTGCGCAGGCATCTGCCGTGTGCTGAGCTGCAAGTTGTCAATAATGAAGAAAGGTACGTACGTATGTATGTTGACCTTTCGGACCGTGCTTAGCCAAGCGTGCTAATCAGAGTTGCGTTATAATAATTCACAACCTAAGACGTTACATTTACACGTAGTTCTCCCCTGTTCCGGTATCGCAGCATATTCTTCTTCCCACGATATGTCCCGGTTCGTTGTACCTCGTTAACATGCAAGATGGAAGCGGTGAGGCTTCCTATTGCGACGCGTTCTGGCATCTCCCAGTTGGCATCGCTGCAAGATACCATTTTTGTTGGCAACAAGCAAACATTTTTTCAATCAACTGATACGGTTCAGCCAGTGAACAAACACTCTTCGATACTTCATCTGCCGGATTGTTCGGCATTAGCGCTGCCCACAGATGGGGTAGCTAACGCTTAGAATTGTGCGCAGTGGTCAGGAAAATATGGGCCACAAATTTGAGGCCCTCGAAAGAACTGTGTTGGCATCAGCCACGCCTGCGGGGGCACGATGAAGGCAGCGCGTGACATTTGTGGTGGCGGGTGAGATGAAAGATGGCCGACCGGGACGTTGTTTTGGTGGCGGCTGTCGTCTTTGTTGTCGTATTTGTCACCCGGACAATGCGGCGGACTGAAATACGGATGGCCTTCACCTGCCAGAAGCCTTCCTGCCAACTTCAGTACTGTACCATTTTATTCAGGGGTCAGGATGAGGTGATGTTAAGTCTCTAGTTCACCTAAGCTCTTTGGCAACTGCTGCAAGCAAAGTCTGGATTTCCCTTCCCACAGCAGTCACGTGATGTCGACACCCTACCCCTGTTCAAGACCTTCTTTTTGGATATGACCAACTGCCTCTCTCCAGAAAATGAATGCACCCACTGTTTCTGTACAGCAGCAAGAGATGATGAGTGTGTTAAGTTTTTCACATTGGGACGCGATATAAATCCACATTCTATTGTATTTTTGCAGCCCTGCCCATGGCCACTCAGGCCGCAATGGACAAACTCTGCAGCAGGGCCAAGATGGGCCGTTTGGAACCGCCACTACGACTAATCTGAACGATGCTTAGCCCAGACCACCCTGCCATTATATGACTGATATAAACATGCCGGCTGGTTTCCTGCTCCCCGCCGTGACCTTGACCTCTAGGTAAATGTATTTTACAACCCTTTCCCGATGTTATTCTTAGTGTTCAAGCTACCGCATTTCTGGGGAGGCTCAACCGGGACACATTGTAAACCCTGAGCACCTCCCTCCATCAGCTGTGCCCGCAGTTACATAGTCACACCCACTCAATCACGAGCCCCGCACACGCAGTGGCCTCTCTGGTCTTTCTGATATTGGCAGCACCTATTGACCCACAGGCCCCAACTATTCCTTTTCCAGCCTCACCCCCTGCTCGGGTAGCTCCATTCTTTCCAAGTAGAGTACATATCAGAAGTTAAGCACGAGGCCAGAATATTTTAATCTTGGGACAAAATCCAGATTTTTTTTTTTGGTGACAGCCCTTCTGAAATCTGGATTGCCTCTGCCAAACCAGGACGTTTGGTAGCTTCACCTGTTATACTATTGATGCCATATCATGACAGAAAATCCCTTTGAAACTCTGGTAGCAAAAAGTGCACAAACTGTATTCGGGAATGCCCGTGTAAGGTGATGCTAAGAAATATTTCTACAGTATCTTCAAATTAAGTTTTTATTTCGGCACACTCGGGGCAAATATTGTGTTTGCCTTGCACAGAACGTTGTAAGTTCCAAATGAAGGCATGAGGCGCTGCAGATTGACGGCAACACATTCAACGTTAAACACCTGCGAAATGCAACAGAGTGTAATTGACACTGAGCAAGACTGCTGCACATTGGCCAGATATCTTGCAAGAGATGGAAGCACCCACAATTTACTCCACCACACATGACCTGCCGATCGACGAACTGTGGTTGTACCCCCTTCATACTGCTTGTGGGTGGACAGAGGCGACGAGATGGACAAAACCTGCCCATTGTTTCACCTGCCTCTCGCTGGGAGAGGTCAAATTGGTGACCTGTCCTGGATTGCAAGTCCAGCATGCTCACCACGATGTGCACCAAGACAGCGTCGCCAACTCGCGGTATGCCATGTTAATAGGCCAGGCTGATTTAAATTGACAAGATTTTGTTGACCAAACGAATTAGGTGGAGGCAGCACGAATGCACACGCACGCCTCAGAGGGCACAGGGGCACAAAGACAAAGATCCCCCGTATAGCCTTAACAGGCGGTTGGGGAAAGTTCCATTAGCAAGCAGCGCCTATGAAGGCTGGCACAGCACACGAGCGCGTGGCCGGACAGCACCACGCCCGGTCGCCTTTGTCTCCCTAGTGCCGATGTTAAAATACTGCACGAGGTACTCATTTGAGGTTGAGTCGACCTAGGGGAGGCCCAGGACCGGTTCAGATAATCGTCACTGGTGTTGGTGGCCGTGAGCGGGAATCGAACCCGGGTCGCCGGGTTCGTAGCGCAGCCACACGAACCGCTCGCGACACCACCGCTCCCCACGGCACCTCTGACACCACAAGCGCCTGCTTCAGAATTCAGATTCACAGTTATTTTGTTTGCACGTACAGTAGGCTAACGTTGTGTCTTACTTGCCAAAGAAGACAGAGGGGAGTGCAGCAAAGGCACACCCAATCTTGTCAGTTAAATTGCCCCACGCCCTTCGGAATGGTATGCGAGCGAGCGAGCGGAGAAAGTCAGCGGAGTCCCACCGCAGGGCAACTTGTAGCCCACCCTTCTCCAGCGTCACTCGCCGGCATTCCGATATCCTCCATCAGCACGCGTCTCGGGGTGAGGCTGTGGAGAGCGCGGGGCTGTGGCCTCTCTCCCCCCTGCCATGTCACCTCCAAAGGTCTTTAATGTATGGCCCGTTCGCTTGTTTGCACAGCGGTGGACAGAGTTATAATGAACTGAAAACTAAGCATTTTTTATTTTACCAGGGAAGGCCCACTGAGCTATATAGGTATTTTTCAGAAGCGACCTGGCCACAAATGATAGCTCAACGAAGTGGCTTATCACGTGGGAATTTATAGCGTGGAGGGAAAACGGGAGGACCCACGAAAAATCCACGCGACCACAGGGAGAGAAACATGCAAACTCCAAATATACAGGCGTCAGGGTCAGGATCGAACCCACACGCTCCTGCATACCAGGCGAGGTAGAAAACACCTCGCCACCATACGAGAGAAACCACCCTGGGCGATGCCGAACTCACAAGGTATCACAAGCTAAGCAGGGCTCAGCCCGGCTCGTAGGGGAATGGCAATTCACCCTCGTCACAAGCCATTGAATTCCCTGAAAGGTTTAAAAAAATGTTTGAATCAATAATCCATTATCTTTTTATATTTTAAATACTAGCTACTCGAGGGGTCATGTAAAGCTATTATATGGCACAAAAATATTTAATAAAAAAAAACTTTGATCCTGATGCACACATTTCGATATATATCATGAGCTTAAGAATTGAAATTAAACCGTGAATGGATGCAACGTTGCACCTCTACAAGTAAGTGCTTGGATGAGAAATTTCCTATAAATATGGTGTAGGCCCGAGCAGCAAAGTGATCATAAGATGGCAGCATAGTCATTCATTATTAAATCCATCTATATGGAGCTTTGAGAATAATCTCGTCATATGGGTGGGTTTTCTCCAGGTACTCTGGTTTCCACCCACATGCCAAACACTTATGAATAGAATTGGCCACAGATACCAATGTAAGGAACCATACATTGGTAGCAGGCCATTCCTGGGCAAAACAATGGGGAATTATTGCAATGCCTTGAAGACCATCCAATTACGCATAACCAGGGGACAAAGAATCCTCCAGAAACTTGCTCACAGATTATACAACGCACGTATTCCGGGTATAATTACAGCATTAACGCAGCCCTGCATGCACGCCCCACGCTGTGGCTACATGCACATAGCTTGGCGAGGCTGAGGAGTCTGGAAGGGATGAGGGACGGCATGTGTGTGTGGAGGGAGGAAGGAATATGATTGAGCCTGCCCAGACCTGCCCGAGTTCTGGGCCGACGGAACAGAGAAACACAGGCATGAGCCGTTGCTGTCATTGGCAGGTGGAAAAACACCAGTCAAGTAAAATAATCACGCACCCCCCCAGCGATTTTAACAAATAATAAATAACCTTGTTTTCGCAATTTAGTAACAAAAAATACAATGGTGTGTGTTTCTAATTTCACCGTCACGTTTGTATCGTTGAAAACAAAAATGCCACGTCTACATTGTAAGTGTTTAATCAATCCATTACACTTAAATCTAACGTTAAAATAGAAGTTCTAGAAATGGTAAATAATCGAATTGTCACATGCTTCCATGCGTGTACCATGTGCAAAAGAACCCACTTCAATTGATGAATCAATGCGTCGTTACTTGGCCAGAAAACACCATTCGAACGACTGACATCTTGATGAAATGGCCAAAACATCACTTTGGCAGCTTTCCCTGATTGTTTTGTGTTGGCAACATTACTATGTTTTTGCCAAAAATCATGCGAAGAGAGGCATTTGTCAACAACTTTAATCATGCCCCATGCTTGCTGGAAGTGTGTCCTCGATCCAAAATAGAGGATTAGGGTTAGGCTTGGACAAAACTCAGCGGGGATCAAAAAAGTAAATGTTAAACAAACTGTGAACATGTGTTAAACGATTAACAGAATGAGTAGTAATACGATCTGCTTTTGCCTATGACGGATTCCGCTCTAGATCTCACCACCTATGTAAATGATGCACTGACAGTTTTTTTTCACTTTTCTCCAAGAACGTAGAAGGGCACTGAGACTCCATCAGGGGCTAGGTCTCATCCGCCTCCAGCCACCACTGACTGTACTGGGATGGTGACTACGAACCCACCTGTCCCAGGTTGAGGGTGACGTTGACGTGATTGTAGTGTGGCCCCCGCGAGAGTGGAGGGCTCTGCCAAGAGCGCTCCGTGCCGTCGATGGTGTTGCTGACCGGGTGAGCAGAGTCCGGGTCGTCCAGGCTGCAGATCTCGCACAGGTTGCCCTGGGAGCGCGCAGAGACGGAGAAGCAAACCGTTAACATTGTTTTGGAGTCCACGTGGTCTTCCAAAACCAGAATCAAAATCTTTATTTGTCCTGGAGAAATTCGATGAGCTATGAAGCTCCTTTTCACAGATGTCCAGTGGGGCTCAGGGCATAAAGTTACAACAATACAAAAAAAACCAATAAGAGTGCAAAGCATAGGAAAGATAAGCCAATCACTAAAACAAATACATAAATACTGTATACTAAAACTAATATATTTTTTTTTTACCAGGATAAAGCCTACTGAGATATATAGCTCTTTATACTGGTAGAAACCTCCTGGTTACACCAGCCCACAGGGGATTATTGTGTCCGTTCGTCCATCGTGCAGGGAGGGGTTGGTTGGGGAGGGAGGGGCTGGGTGGGGAGGGGCTGGGTGGGGAGGGTTGGGAGGGGCTGGGTGGGGAGGGTGGGGAGGGGCTGGGTGGGGGGTGGGAGGGGTGGGGCTGGGTGGGGAGGGGAGGGGAGGGGCTGGTCACCCCGTGGTGCCCTTATAAAACTCAACGTTTAACCTACTCACGCCGGCTTGTGCCCGCCCTCACAGTCGGGTATATTTGCGGAATACACCACGCCGCCGTTGACCCTGGCCATTGACCTAGCAACCCAGCGTTCCTACCAGCTCCCTCCTTCGCAGGAATGTGTTCAGACGGGACCTGGCCACAAATTATAGGTCAACCAAGTGGCTTATATTTCGATTTAAAGCTTTCTTGACTGCAGGGATTCATCTTCTTGGATCTTTCGGTAAAGTCAAGTAGAAGGGAAATAATAAAATAATAAAAATAAAACATAATGAAATACAATTCTCACGACGTTTCGGCCACAACGCAAGCAGCCGTCCTCAGGTGAAGAACAGGTCTGTCGGAAAGACAGCGTCTTTCGCTGTTTTTCTGACAGACCAACGTCTTTCGCTGTCTGCGTTGTGGCCGAAACGTCGTGAGAATTGTATTTTATTATGTTTTATTTTTATTATTTTATTATTTCCCTTCTACGTGACTTTACCGAAAGAACCAAGAAGACAAGTGGCTTATCACGTGGAAATTTATAGCAGCCAAATAATCTTGCAAGCGACCCATACATTTCAAGCACAAATTAATAACTAAACATATTACCTTTCTCGTTAGCACTGCTTTATAACAATATATATGTACATGGTAGGCTAACGGTCTGGGTAATGGAATGTTTAGTCAACGAACCCATACCACACCCTCCTCAAGCGACACACATCTGAGGTCATAAATGCAATTAATCTTTCATCGGAATCATGACACGAGAATTGCAGGGACAAATTTTCAATTATGTGGCTTTGGATCACTAAACTTTTTTCTGTATTTTACCAGGTAAGGCCCACTGACCTGTGTAGCTTTTTGTTAAAGAAGCGACCTGGCCTCAAATTATAGCTCAGCAAAGTGGCTTATCATGTGGAAATTTATAGCAGCCAAAAACTCTAAACGTGGTGGGAAAAACTGGCGGACCCTGAGAAAAATCCACGTTACCACAGGGAGACATGAAAACTCCAAATATACAGCAGGCGTCAGAGTCGGTATCGAACCCACGCCTTCCTGTATACCAGGTGAGGTAGTTAACATCTCGCCACCGTACGAGAGAATTCACCCTGGGAGAAGCTCAACAAAGTGGTTTATCACGTGTGAATGCAGCCAAATACTCAAAACACACAAACTCTGCCATAGCCCTCCCTGATCAACCTCACCGGTTCTACCGTGCTGATTGAGATATGGCAGGATACGATACGCAAGCGGACAAACTGCGAAATCGGGCCAGCTTTCGGGAAAATAGAAAAACAGTCACCGTTCCACTAAAACACGGCAGAATGATGGCCAAAAAACGATACACGAATTGGGGCCCCTGTGTGTGTGTATGTGCGCACATGGCAAATCACACGAGTGGGTTTCCACGCTCGGCTGCAGAGTTACCTGGGCCTTATCACTCTTTAAGAATTCACTGTCACAGTTGCGTGGGGAAAGGAGAAAAAAACCCACCCACATGTCCTTATTTGGAGAAGCAATTTTTTTTTAGCGCGCAAGCTCACACGGTTGCGGCACTGTATGAGAAGAGGGCGACTCGTAGTTGTACGGAGGATGGATGTCAAAGCGATTTATCGCTTTTTGCTCTTCTCACACAAAAGAGGCAAAAAGGGAATGCCCTGAGGTTGTAACACTTGCATACCACCAGACGCGCACGAGGAACGTAGCCCTGCACGCAAAGTTCGCCCCGTGTAGCCTTCAACTGAGCGTTGGGGCAAGTTCTGTCAGCGAGTAACACCTCTATGAAGGCTACCGGCACTGTGGCACACGAGGGGGTAGGTGGCCAGCACCACGCCCGGCCGCCTTTGTCTCCCCAGTGGCGATGTTTACGCAGGTCTACGACACACGCTTCACACGCATTCGCACATACCCAATGAATAAACAAATAAATGCCCCTTATACAATGCTTCCCACGGCTGGTCAAATTTGTCAGCAGAAATGTTCTCGCCGCTGTGAGTAAGCATTTAGTGGCGTTTATTACCGTGGCCTTAAAAAGGTGAGTTGAGATTCGTGATTTCGTGTCTCGCTGTACGCACGCTTGGGTAAGGGAGGCCACCCGAATGGATTGAAGATTTTACAATCAGCGTCCACAGAATGCTGCTATGCGGTTCTGTTAATAAATAAACGGTACTGTACAACATTCTACTCTCGCGCAGTGGACGCGTTTACGCGTGCGAGCATCAAACAAGCGAACCATCGCTGTGCGTGGAAATCAACGGCGAATTGCCCTCCGGAGGGACTCATCTCCAGTCACGGCGACGTTTTGGAATTTCCACCGCTCCCTCAGGACCACACGCACAAAAAAACACAACGGGCGTAAAGCATCGTCCACCGCCATCCTCTCGAACCATGCCCACCTCGACCACGTTACTACCCCCCCCCCCTCTCGCAAGGGTAACGCCAAGGAAGCCCCTCAGTGAACCACAAACTCGGTGGCGACGTCGCCCTTTCTTATTTTTGGCTGCCACCCCGTGCCGGATTATCCTCGTAGCACAAGTAGCTACACGTGTAGCAGCTACATATGTAGTAGCTACTACATATGTAGTAGCTACAGGCCCCGCACTTTCAAGGGCCCCCCGCGCTAAATGCTTTCAAGCTATCAATTCCGGCTCAGTGATTCTGCACTTGCTCTATTACTATAGTACTATACCGCCTTCAACTTTTACGAACGACTTGGTGTTTAAGGTTAGCGATGTGTCGCATTATCTGGCTTTATGCAAATGAAAAAATACAATGAATTTACTATGCAAGTTGACAATTAGTGTTTTAATATTAAAGTGTTTTATTATTTAGAGCCCCTTTATAACATCATGCTACAGGTCCGGCACTAGCTTAGTCTGGCACTGGTGCCACCCCCTGGACCGTTGTCCGGAACCCCCCCTGGTTCCATCTGTTCAAGTCCGGGGGGCCTCAAGAACTGTCCCATCGTCTTAAGCCGAACGACCCACACCGCCCAAATTTTTCAGAGTGTCTATACAACACGTGTCAATGTGCTTCCCCCCGCTCTTTTGGTCCGTAAGCCTTTTGATGGGCACGGTCCGACTTTCTGACATGGCTGCAATGAAATGTCGCGTACCGGATTTGTAAATCCACCGCTGGATGAGGGCCTCCCCCCATGGCTAGGTACGGTGCGAAAGAAGTTCGACGTACGTAACATGCCGTGCAGGCCGGGAAAGGGCTATTTCGATCCAGCTGCATTGCCCTCTGCTGTCCACAACGCCGACTACGCCTGTTTTACTTACACGGTGGTCTTGCCCATTCAAGCGCGATCCAGGCTCAACCTTCCTTAAGCTTCCGCGTTTCTGATGGGATCGGGTGCATTCCTGGCGATTTAGTCAGAGGCTTTGATGCCAAATGAATCCACGTTGCCATTGGAGCGTTAGAATCTCCCACCGTTCCGCCATCACTGTTATCCTTGCATTTCATCCCAGGTCTCCCTTCCAACAGATGATCACTGCCGGACATCATCAAGGGACTCTCACCCCGGTTAAACAAGGCACCGTCTGAGAGCCCCGAAGTCTCGTTGCGTTTTTGGGCCCTTCTCACACTCTCACCGCATCCCCTAGGAAGAGGGCACTCCAACGGTAAGGAACGAACTGTGGTTTCCACGTGCTCAGCGAACAAGCGTAGCCCACAAATGCCATGGCAATTTTCCCTGCAAGACTACGCCACAGATATCTTGCCAGACATCTTGCCTCCCCACTGGTATCGGTCTTCTCTGCTATGCTATATGAACATTGGGCTGATTTAAGATCAGCCACATGAACATCGAAGGCTTCAATACAAGCACAACGTTAGTCAAGTGATACGAGTGTGGACAGCCTATAGTTAACTACAGCATATCTTATAAACTGAAGTTATATCTGAACTCCCCGCCCCCATAATGTAAGCGTGACTCCACAACAAAGACATTGATGACCCAGTGGTGGTGCCATGAGATGAGGATCATTGATAACCCTACGATGAAGGCCTTGAAGCATCAGTTGTGAAACCACATAGTCAGTATGAAAGAACACCCCACGATAAAGACATTCATGACCCAGTGAAGGAGCGATAAGGTCAAGATCACAGATGCCCCACGTGGTGGAATACACTCACAACGCTGTGCTTTTAAAACCACTATTTCCGATCCACGGTTGACACAACAATAGAGATGCCGGTGACCTTAACGACCCATCGACGGAGCCACACGATGACCCCAAGTCACGAGAGATGCCGATCTGTCCCATCAGTGGTGGTTTCTGGCTCATTGGCGGTTTGAAGCAGGAATTATATTTGGGGGGCCCTCCAATCGGTGATAACCCCCCCACTCGACTCGATGAGCCCCCCACTCGTAGTGCGATGGTAGGAGATATGTAGACTAGAGATGTAGATGACAACAGAGAGATAGAGACGAGACAGAGGTGTAGTAAAATAGTAGAAATGCATGGGACCTTTTGCCAGTATCAAAGTATGAAAAAAAAATGGTTTTACCATTTCTGCCAATTAAACAGGAGATGTTAAGATGTTCATACACCAAATAGAAACCTTTGCAAGAAATCAAGTCTGCATTAACGACGCGACTTGCAAAAGATGTCTGTTTGGTGTTTGAACATCTTAACACCTGTTTCATTGCCAGAATTGAGTCAGAAAATATTAAGAAATATGACAGGTGCAGACAAAGACAGAGGCGAGAGAAGTTAATTATAGTGCTAATGTCAATCATCTTGCTATGCGCGTTAGGCTTTAAATTTGAGCCGGAATTTGACGAGCGGCTGCTATATTGAATGGATCTTTGACCCCCCCCCCCCCTTGAGCCACTTGGAACCCCGTGCTTTTACTTAGCTTCCTTATGTCTCGCGCGGCACCACTGCGTCCCGTCCACCACCAACCAACCACTCACTGACTCCCACTCACCTGTCCACTGAGCGCGGCGCTCCCAGACAGAGCGCAGGACGTGTCCTCCCGGCTCCTGCCCTCCTCGTCCTGACCGCAGGTCGCCGTGGCGCTGGCACTGGCACGCTCGGCCACGTTGAAGTAGGGAGGCAGCAGGCTCGGCTCATTGCCCGCGGCCCGGGCGGAAGGGAGAGCAGGTAGCAGCAGCAGCAGTAGCATCGAGACCAGGTGAGACAGAGCCATATACGTCATGGCTTTACCCTGACTCTCCCGGGGCCGATCGTCGTGTTGTTGTTGCTTGTTGTGTGACTGTCACTATTGGGTTGATGGCTGGGTGGCTGGCTGGTTGTCGGATCTTTTCGCGTGGAATCAACCGTGGAATCAACCGTTTCGTGCTCGGCTAAAGATGTCACGTCGCCCCAAAATAAAAAAGTTCGTGGAATAAATCGCGTAACAACCTCGCCGATGTACAACGCGAATGCGTAACCCTGTCACCCTTCCCCACCCCCCGTACTCACACGGGCAGGCGCGCGCCTCTCGCTTCGCCCCAACAACGACGATCCGAAGTAGGTCCCTCAATCAACCGCAGCGTCAACTTACGGACAACCCAAGCGACCCGATCAACAGCCCGGTCCCATGAAGATTCACCCCCGTGGCACCCGCGTGTCGCTCGCTTAAATACCGAGCGGGCTGCGGGGCTGGGAAGGGGGGTGGGAGCTCCCAAGGTGTAGCCGCTGTGCGTGTGCGCGCAGGTGAGCGAGCGGTGGAGGCGGGGACAGGTTGGGGTGTGTGGGAGAGGCGAGCGGATGGTCTGGGGGCACACCCTGTGTCTGCCTTCCTTCTGGCTTGTGGTCAGTGACAGCGCGGCTCCGCGCGCCACTCGCGTTGCCTAACGTGTTGCGCGCTAGGGAGCGAAGCCCTCGCCCGCGGGGACACGAAAGTCGGGTTGATGCTTCGCTGCCCATTGTTCAAATTCTGAGCCACCACGAAGCGAATTACGTAAATCTCTCCGCTCCCGAAGACGCCTTGGGTTCCGTTTGAATGTGGCATAACCCTCATCCCTCTATTCAAGTCAAGGCTTACGACTTTTAGGTTCACCTCTGCCTATGAAATGTTTATATCCATAGAAATGTTTAGCGTTATTTATTTTCACAAATCACGTTGGGTTATTTAATGTATTTTTTTTACAAACGTAGCAATTTTTTGGTCACACGCGTTTTTTACTCCCCAACTTTCCCCTATGAATAAATACGAATAAAACATCATTCCGCCTTCTCCACGTGCATATCTCGTCCACCGTGCGTCTCAAGACTCAGCAGAGTCTTCAGACGCGGGCGTACAAGGATGATTTATTGATACCTTCAACAGTTGATTTGTTTCCTTATGAAAAATAAGAAATGTACTTGTTTGGAAAGAGTGCAAGCTGTCTTCAAGGAAAATTCAATTAATGCTAACACACCTGACCATTGCGTTTCATTCGGACAAATAGTCCGTTATTAAATCGGTTAAACATTTTAGTGACAGCTTTTAGGAAAATAAATTTCCGTAAAATGTTTCATAACTGTTGGGCGAAAATTGTGTCAACGATATGGTTCATGCGGAAATATAAACAGCGATTGACGACTGCTATCCCAGTGGCTTTGACCACCGCACACTGACCTGCGTGGTGAAGTAAGGTCATACAAACCCCCCCATGTGACATAAACGGCTTGGGCTTTGCGGGTGGATTGACAAAGGGCTGCAGATTCCAGAGAGACAGGGCCGACAGTCTCCCTCCATCCCTCCAGTCAGCCAAGCCTACTCACTCCTAAGCCATGCAACTTGTTAGATCCAATTATAGACTTAACTCTCTTCTAGAGCCAAACCAGACCGCTGTTTATCAAGTGTAATCCTGCATTCCCAAGATGGGTCATCCATTGCAACCCCAGACCCTGCTGTTAATGGATGCTTGTGGTTAGAACTCATAGCTCGGATATTTACTTATATCTTTATGATCCTTCCAGGGTCGATAAAATTCGGTACCACTCTGTGATAAATAAGTGAATCATTCTAGATTTGAAGCTTTCGCTACGTTGTCCCCACCTGAAGAAGGACGCTTGTGTTGCGCCCGAAACGTCGTGATTTTATTTAGTTGTTTTCATTTATTTTATTTTTTACCTACGTGACTTTACCAAAAACACAAAGAGTACAAGTGAATCATGCTTGCGAGGAGATTTATCGCTTGTTGATTAGAATGTGTAATTGCCACGCTTGTTCAGGATGTAGATACTTTAACGTTGAACATTTGAATTAATAATGAAATAACCACCTCTATATGAGAACGTATCAATTTGTAGTACATATGTTGACTTTAAATAAGAAGTATGTCTAGACAATCTCCGACGTAAATGTGGATCTCGAATAAAATGGAGAGGCTTCAATCATCGCCATGCATTGACTGTAACTGTTATGTGAACACTAAATGTACGTGTTGTGATGATGTCATGCATGTTGTGTGTTTTATTCGTGTGTAGAATTGAAGATGACTCAAGTTGACTCAATCTGTAACATCACAACAAATCAATGTAAGTCCGTGACTGATGCGCTCAATGCAGTCCTGTAAACAGTCCGTAAGCAGTACGGTATAACAATCATGCCCCGGTATAAATACCAGTCTAAAAATGTGTCGTGCCTACTATTGTGTTATATAACAAACACATCAACTCAACTCGTACTCAATAGCACATCATGCGCGAAAAATACGGGCCACTGCCCGAACCGTGGCCTGTCGTGGACATTTCCTCTTTAAAGCCACGGTGGTATTGACATTCCGAATGCGTTGGGGTTGTTAATATGTTTTGTTATTTGTCCTTGTGTGTGAAACCACTAACCAACGCAGCAAAGCCAGCATCGCCGAATAAATCACAAACACACACAAAGTTATATGTAATAATAAAAAAACATTGCGTTCCACTACTCGGTGTGTTCGCTAGACGGCGCTGTGAGCCCCAACACTGAAAACTAAATCAACGGATGGTCACTCCCCCGAAACGCCTGGTGTGGGTTTCGTGTTCAGGTTGGTGGGTCACTGGGAGAGTAGCCAGTACCAGTGGCTGGGTTGCCAGTCAGAGCCAGTCGGAGGGTGAGTACTGGGCAATGGTTAGCTTATTGGTCAGGGTTGATGTGTGTGTGTGGCTGGTGTGGGTAAGGCTATGGCTTGTACCACTGGCTGGGTTAGCTGGTCAGAGCCAGTGGGAGGGCGAGTACTGGGCATTGGTTAGCTTATTGGTCAGGGTTGATGTGTGTGTGTGGCTGGTGTGGGTAAGGCTATGGCTTGTACCACTGGCTGGGTTAGCTGGTCAGAGCCAGTGGGAGGGCGAGTACTGGGCATTGGTTAGCTTATTGGTTAGGGCAGATGTGTGTGTGTGTAGCTGGTGTGGGTGAGGCTATGGCTTGTACCAGTGGCTGGGTTAGCTGGTCAGAGCCAGTGGGAGGGCGAGTACTTGGCATTGGTTAGCTTATTGGTTAGGGTTAATGTGTGTGTGTGTGGCTGGTGTGGGTAAGGCTATGGCTTGTACCAGTGGCTGGGTTGGCTAGTCAGAGCCAGTGGAAGGGCGAGTACTGGGCAATGGTTAGCTTATTGGTTAGGGCTGATGTGTGTTGCTGGTGTGGGTAAGGCTATGGCTCGTACAGGGGTCTTTCAAGACTGCAGTGCGGCTCTTGAAATTCGAAAAAAATGGCTCTTCGTGTTATTTTGGTTTCCGACCCCTGTGCTGGTACCATTGGCTGGTTTGCCGGCTCGAGCCAGTGGAAGAGCTCCTAAGTCATTGTTTGGCGAGCTAGTTAACGTGTTGGGGTGGCTGAGGGTAGGTTTAGTTCTGGTTGGCTATGTAGTTGATGGTTGGTTAGGGGCCGTCCATAAATGACGTCACGCGATTTTTGACGATTTTTGACCGCCCCCCTTCCTTCGTCACACGGCGTCACAAAAAGTCAGACCCCCCCCCTCAAATTCGACGTCATAAAGCTCTGCCCCCCCTCCCTAGGTGCGTGACGTCATCTATGGACGGCCCCTTAGGGTCAGTTCTTGGGCTCGTACCAATATCTGTTTTTGAGAGTTGTGTATGGTTCGGGATATGGCTAACTTTTCGTTGCCTCGTGTACTCTGCCTTCAAACTGCTGCACTTCCTCAAACAACATCATCGTCTTTTCAGTTCTGAACATGTCTTCTCTTCTGGTGTTCACACAACACGGTTTAATGTTATAAATACAATATTCCATGGTGGAGATGTCAAAAAAGTAATTATAATGATCTTTTGCACCATCCAACTTCATTCATTTAAATACAGGTCTATTCGTTCAATTTAAAAAACTCGAGGATGAAAATTACTACGAGAACGAGCAACACACGAAAACATCGGCAGCACGTTCACTTTCCATGACGCGAGCTTGTTGAGAGGGAGCGATCTGAGCTGGGGAGCGGGCAACATTCTTCTTGCAGAGAACTCGCGGCTCTCTGATCCACCACCTCACCGCCATCTGTGAGTTACGAAGCAAACGACGATTGAGTGAATATCGGGGAGCGCGCAGCAACAGTTCACGTCTTGACAGAGTGAACGGAGAGAAGAGAGTAAGGGGTTGCAAAGCGATGCGTCATCCCATTCGTTGCAATTATTGGCAAACAAATCCAGACGAGGCCGTGCTCGTTTCACCGTGCCAAAGGTGCCACCAGATCCAGTGCGACATGAACGGGTGTGTTCACAGGAAGTGTCAAAAAATGTCATCGGTGCAAAGTCAGCCTTTTTATGTACCACATATAATAGATGTTGGGTTCCCATTTCCAAGTGTCAACAAGGACGAGATTGTACCATGGTCAGTGCTGTTGATATGCCCTCTCGTGTGTGGATTAATGATCCATTTAAGGGATCTCTCACATGTTCATCCTTTAAGGGAACTCAGTAATTGTTTCGTGATATCTCCTTCCACAGGCCATGTCCTAACATGGAGTGATACACAGTTAAATTTCGATTTAAAGCTTTCGTGACTGCAGGGATTCATCTTCATGGTTCTTTCGGTAAAGTCACGTAGAAGGGAAATAATAAAATAATAAAAATTAACGTAATAAAATACAATTCTCACGACGTTTCGGCCACAACGCAAGCAGCCGTCCTCAGGTGAAGAACAGGGCTGTCTTCCGACGTTTTGGCGTTGTGGCCGAAACGTTGTGAGAATTGTATTTTATTGTTTTATGACGGATACAAATTGATAATATAATTAAGGAAAACTTGTGATTTCTAAAGGTACTGCTGTATGACAATTTTACAAGATCCACAATAGGGCCAAGACAATTTATTTTTGCAATATCCAACGCATTTGCAACTGCATGTTTCCGCACCTGTGTGTTCTCTGTCACAGGAGTGCCATCTTTCCATCTTGTAGGCACACACGAACGGTGCACTTAAGAAGTGACATCAGGACGCCCGAATTAACGACTCAGAGGCCAAATACTCCATGCCTGGTTAAGGAGCGTTATTATTTTCGGAGGCACGTCTCGAATTAGCGATCGACACAAGGGATTGGGGACTTGCGTGCTCTCGGCGAGTGGCCGGGCCCATCGTAGATGGAACTCGCTGCCCCTTCGACACGTTAAATAAGCCCGCCTCTGTGGCAGACGTCGCACACGCTCGCACGCCGCCCTGACTCCCAGCCCTCTCCTCCCTCCGCAGCTCATCGCAGCAGGTACGGCGGCACGGAGGGGCAGGATTGGGTACGCTCGTACGCGAGGGCGATCCACCGTCGACAAGAGATACGCGACTGATTTCTCACGAGCCTCTTATTTTCTTCTCGACCCGTGAATGAATATTGTGTGAAGGTGAAGGCTCCCGTGTCGCACAGAGGAGAGTTAAAATATTGAAGACGTTTGTTCGGATTGGTGGGAGACGTTGTTGAGGTTTTGTGTGGGGTATATATTAATGTACTTGGACAAACACCCGAGATTAAACCAGATTCCCGCTTTCAGCGATTTTATGGTCTTAGCCAGTTTATCAGCGTTTGCACAAAATTTATAAATTTGGGTTTTCACTTAAGCCTTAACCCAGCTCCCATAGACAAAGACAAATATCGAAGGGCATGCAATTTGATATTTGAGTGGCTATGTGTGTTGAACAGAGGACAGACTGTATATATATTTTCTCTTAAATAATACAGAGACAAGAGTCTAAATGCCAAATAAATAAAATTACATATAGGTCCATCAGCCAATTGGTTATCCAGATCAATATTTCCCATCCAGGAATTCGACCCAGAGCAAACAATAGCTTCTGGAAGGGCCATTGGCTGACGAACCTAACATTTTATTTTACATATTGCGTTTTTTTTCTTAATCCCTTCTCGTGTCTCTCGTCTCCTTCTTCTTTGCTTATTCGTGTTGTGGTTTCAGCTGATTCGGTCGCTTGTTTGCTTTTGTTGTAATCTCGCCATTCCACTCTCGACGCACGACGTCCGCCACTGCGCCAATCGTTCAGCATTTTTGTTTAAAGCAGCTGCCCCGTTCGCGCGTTTGCCGCACACTCCCGACAGCACAGACTCCTCGGAACAGACGCCGCCACCGCCGGCGACCGCCACGCTCCACCAGCAGCCATGCCCTACTACATACCCAGCTACCAGAAGGAGCTTCCCTACAACCAGTTCCGCTGGGGCTCGGCGGAACGGTGGCGCGTGCACTCCGTCAGCAAGTGGTTGAGCGCCGGCGCCGGTCGCTGGAGCGCCAGCCCCATCCTGGGCTGGAGCAGCTACTCGCCGAGGATCTGGAGCGAGAGGATCCGTGAGTGGCCGTGGAGGTGGACGCGCGGCTGGTACGGGCAGTTCCACTCGACGCGTAGCGGCCTGGAGACCTACGACCCGAGCCTGGGCGCGTGGAGCGCTGCCCGCAGGAGGCTCAGCGTGACCCTGGACTCGCCGAACAAGTACATACTGTCACCCTCGCGCGAGTACTGCGTGGGCTCGGCAATCCGCACGCGCCACCACAAGACCTACATGTTCCCCGGCTACAGCGGCACCCTGCACAGCCTGGCCGCCACCAAATCCAACATCTGCGCCCTGCGGTAAGGAACCGGCGAGGAGGAGGAGGCGGGAGAGTAGGAGGTGGAGGTGCAGGGGCTATTTGGATTTTCATCAATACCGGGGGAGACCTGGGACACATGCAAATCTGTGGCTTGCTATTGTTTCAAGGGATGGGGGGGGGGGGGCATGCACAACATTAGAGGATGACACGGCCCAGTCAATGTTAAACAAACTTTACGCAAATGTATAATTCTAAACGGAATGAGTAACGATGGTAGAAATGTGATCTGCTCATGTCTATTGTGAATCTGCCCCAGCTCTCAGCCCCCGTGTCTTAGAGTCGTCGATGCGACGCCCATCACGTGATTGCCACCTGTGTTGCATGTTGTTCCAGCAATTTTTGACACCAGCGATGGTAATTAAGCGGCAGGGCCGAGCCTTCAGCTGGGGAGGGGGCCCAGCCCCCATCTAGCCCCTCTCACAACGAATATGCTTACAATCAACATTTTCAAATTGTAATAATAAAATAACAATGGGATTTTTTAAGTCTTTAAATATCAGAGCGTCTCAGGATTGTGTGCAATGCGACCAATTAAACGTATGCAATACAAAGAACATCAAAACAATACACAATGGCTTGGAGGTGGATTGGTGAAACGAGTTGGTTTTTTGAGAGATTTTTCAGTCAAGGAAGTTCAAGGATTGTACCATAATTGTACATTCTACAATTAAGCATGACGCCGGTATTATATGGCTATATATTGGGGCGGGGGGGAGGGGCAGGGCGGAGGAGCAGTAACACGGTAGCTTCGGAATTGCACTGTGAACCTGGTCACCTGAGTGTGATTCCCAACCAAGGCGAACATAATTGACCGACCCGCGTTGTAAAATATGCTCAGACAATCCCCATGGCCAGCATCTTGTGGGGAGGCCCTTGTTCAGCTGTGGATTGACAGGGACCTGCATTTGTTTTGTTATTTCCATTATATGGCTAAGACTGGCTCACCACGCACCAGTATATTTCAAGAAATGCAGTTTTATGCCACCACGGTTCCAATTTCCTGCGAGCCACATCAACGTTCCACCAATTCATGGACAGCCAAATATATTCCGTGCATCATATATTAACTTGCCACTGCCATTTGCGGTATATAAAGAAGGACTTGCTTGCCGACTTACGACTCACGACTCTAGGATTAGCCTTGCACATGCACCATCTTATTTCTTTATTTTATTGAACGGGAAAACAAAGTTATGCTTTGCAGACGGACGTGAATCTGGTGTGGGACACGTGGCGTAGTAGTGGGGTGAATCAGACACTCATTAAAGTAACGAAGGAGAAGATTGTGGTTTGAGATGTGGAATAGTCCGCAGGAAATATTGCTAATGGATCCTGCGTAAGGGTTGCTGTATGTTGTCGGCTTTGTCACGTGGGGTAAAACATCCCCTTGCACCTCATTCTAGATGCATGCGAGGTGTTTCTGGAAGCTATTTAACGAACAAAAAGTGTCAAGTGCCGCAAGGAAAAAAAGCATAAGACGGGATCTCTTCCGAAGAAGCGGCGTCAAAAGTAAATTTTCAGTGGTTGGTTAAGGAGTGAAATGTATGTTGAGCCACTCTTACAGCCACACTCACTGGCAGTGTGTTTGCATGGATTGTCGGTGTTGCAGTTCAGGCAGTCCGCGTTAAATTTGGCAGCGCGGGCGGCAGCTTGTCACAATAAGGCTCCCCAAATCACCGTGCCACGGCAAAGCGTTCCCTTGAGCACGGAAGTTTGATGATGCTATTATTTTGATGGGGTGCTGCCCTGACTGATGCAAAAACTAAACCTGTAAACATAGAATGAATTTGCATGTTAGCAATGTCTGCAGTCGATGACATTAATTACATTAAATGCCTTAAAACAGTAAGAGTGGCCGTGTGAATGATTTTGAA